CAGATGGTTGTGAGCCACCATGTGGTTGCTGGGAGTTGAACTCAGGACCTCTCTAAGAGCAGTCAGTGCTCTTAACCTCTGAGCCATCTCTCCAGCCCTCATGCTATATCTTAAGATGTCAAAAGCCATAGACAGCTAGACACAGAGATAATTGACTGTTCTTGTAGTTCCTGGAAGATGGGAATGCTGAAAGTAATGGCAGACAGTGGAGGTCAAGGTCATAAGATTTTATTGGGCAAGAAGCTCTTCAGGAAACCATGGAGTTAGCCTGGCCTACCTTCCTTGAGAGATGTGTCATATGTTTTTCAGGTTAAAGTCCATGGCTCCTGGGGCACAATGAGCCTTCCAGTTTTGACAGACTGATGCACTCCCTCAGGCAGTGAAACATTCAAGCTGATTTTTGGCTTTCTGTATGATCTCTTAGTAGTCAAAAAGCATGGAAAATTAACAGGACAATTGGTCTTTGTGGTGATATATTGTGTACCCCAGTAAAACTTGCCTGAGGATCAGAGGACAGAGCCAGCCACTAGATTAGATATAGAGGTCAGGCAGTGGTGGCACACACTTTTAATCCTATCACTAGGAGGCAGAGATCCATCTAGATGTCTGTGAGTTCAAACCCACACTGGGCTACAGGAGATTGATCCAGTATAGGAGAGAAACAGAGCCAGGCAGGGGTGGCACATATCTTTAATTCCAGCAATTGAGATCTCATACCTTTGCTTGGGAAGCACACAGGCCATGAAGTAAAATGGCAGGGCAGAGAAAGTTATATCAGATGTGAAGAGATCAGGACTAAAAGCATTTCAGCTGAGACCCTTTTGGGTGAGGACTTAGAGGATTTCAGTCAGAGGATTCGTGGAATTGGTGAGGTGAGACATGGCAGTGCTCTGGTCTTTCAGCTTTCATCCCAATATCTGCCTCAGAGTTTTTTATTATAAGAACATTTAGCATTCGAACAACAGGTCTTACACATTAATCTTGTGTACCCTGTATATAGCTTGACAGTTCATTGTATCCTGGAAATTGCCATTGTGTTCTGTTTCTGATAAAGATATAAAAAGTTTGATTGCTTTCAATAAAACAGTCATAGCCTCCTCTTGCTGTGGCTCCTCCAGCCCAAGCCTGGCTTCATTCCTTGTGGCCCTATCAGGTGATCTTGGCCTGGTAAGTATGGGCAGGTACTTAGAAGACTTAATGAAAAAATTAGCTAGAGTTCATTTGTTTGATAGTTTGACCCAAATCTTTCTTATTCTCTCCAAGTCCAGAGAAAGTGGGCAAAATTAAAAAGTAATCGGCTAATTTCTTAGACAAAATATTGTTTTTGTTGGATGGTTATTACTGTTGACTCATTCAGGTCTACAGTGAAAAAGAAACACGTAGAAAGAAATGAAAAGCTCTATTTCGTTGAGAAAAACAGCACTAGGTAGTCTCAGATGGCAGTCCAGTGGTGAAAAAGAAGTAAGGATTTTCAGAGATTTTAGCACCATTAAAGGTAAGACCCTTGCCTTTTTTTAATTGAAAATAGATTTTAATACAACATCCAAATATATACTCCTTCTCTCTTTCTTTCTTATTAGAAAAGAAACAGGCATCTAAAAATTCTATTTGCTTTCTTATACACTGCAGTACCACCTGCATAAGAATAGTACAGCTCCATAGTGGGTTGGCCCTCCCTCATAAATCATTAATCAAGAAAACACCCTATAATTGAAGGTCATCTTCCCCAATAGTTCTAGCTTATGTCTTCTTGAGGAAAAGCCAACCAGGACAAGGACCATGAGTTAAGAGCCAGCATGAGCTATGTAGTGAAACCCTATCTGAAAATAAAATCAAATAAAGTAACAAGCTAACTAAATAAACCCTCACAATTCATTTATCTTTTATCATTACTCTTTTCAAATAATTTGGTCCTCATCCCAAGATGTTGGAATGTTTCATTATGAAAGCATCTAGTATTTTTGTCTTAAGTTTGGCTTTTAACCAAGTCTAATGATTTTGTTCAGAGGTATAAAACAGAGAAGGATGCTTTGGATATGGGTAGGATCTGCTCCAGGTGTCATACACTTTGATCTTTGCTCCTAAATTAAATCTCAGGATAACACCGAGGAATGACACCCAAAATTGTCTTCTTGCCCTCTCATGAACATTGTACCCCATACACACATGTGCACCTTCATTTGAATACATATGCAAAATAAAAAGAAAAATTAAAGTTTAGGAATAATGATCAGTGAAAATGTCTAGGAGTTAGATCATTAATATGATTGGCTTTTGTTTCTAGAGCACAAGTTGAATTTTGGAACTTAAGTGGGCTGATTGAAGTCTTAGGGAGGGAATAAGATTCAGAAGAGTCATTTAAGTCAAGAGGGTTAGTAGGAATGATTAAGTGTAAATTAGGAGATAGGAGTGATGTCAATAGGGTACCAGAAAGTGTTTTATCATTAGGGAAATGAAAGAAGAAAAGCACACTACTTGTCTTGTTAATGAAAACACATGTGTTCAATATTCTACTGTTTGCATACACACAGATTCCACAGTGCTTTTGTGGATGGCAGAGGACAACTATAGGGATTTTGTTTCCTTTTAACATATGTGTCTTGTGGATCAAACTAGTCTTTAGCCTTGATTGCAATGTCCTTTATTGTCTGAGGCAACTCTCAGCTCTTGTATTTTATTACTTTTATTTATTTGTCAGGGCTAATTTGCATGTGTGTCTAAGGATCTGACTCAGATGGTCTTGCTTGTCTATCTTTAAATATTAATCATACATAGGTTTGCCTGCCATCCTAGGACTTAATGCAGTCCAGCATAACTTTCATTCAGTTCTACAATATATAACCATGTAGATTGCATCAGGGTTTTATTATTTGTGTACTCACATACAGGTGTCTTGGTGATCATGTGTACTTACAAATATCTTTAATGTTAGGAGAATCAAGATGTTTTGAAATTATTACTTATAATTTTGCTATTGTCCTCTTACCACATTCTATAGGTCATTGTGTAGATACTTAAGCATTTTTCAAGAGAAAGTTCAATTTCTGTGTGTTACTTAAAAGCAGCAATATTTGTTTCTGGTATGCAGTAACAGTAAATGTACCACATTTGCTTCCTACTTTGTTCATAAAATCTAAGATCTCGTATTGGATAATGTGCATTTTAATGTTTGCTCATTACATACTTAGAACAATTAGAGTAGAAGTACATATATATTAATAGCATTTTTTTATTTTTAACTTGTAAGGCTCTTGAGCTTTTTTTCAGAGGTACATTCTGTTGCTACTCTGTATTTTATGATAAAATGTAACCAAAATATAAAAAGTAGTGATAATGATATTTATATCAAAGTATATACCTTTACTCCTATTTACATATTTATAGCTGAGTATATGCCTAGACCATCATTGTGGAAACACACTCCCAGAATGAAGAATATAATACAACTCAAGATTTTAGTTTGCCTTTGAGAGGATATAGAGGACTTGAAAGGGTGGCAGCATATTTTGATAGATATTAAAATGAGTACACAAGCATGCTTCATAATTCCATTTGATTGAAATATATTTTTTCCTCCCCTTTCCAGGAGGTAATGTTTATTTTTGATATTGAGGTGTGTTTCTTGTATGCATCAGAAGCATGGACCCTGTTTTCATATCCATTCTGTTAGTTTGTATTTTTTTATTGGATAATTGAGACCATTTATACTGAGAGATATCAATGACCAATGATTGTTGATTTGTTCTTATTGTTCCTCTCTCTCTCTCTCTCTCTCTCTCTCTCTGTGTGTGTGTGTGTGTGTGTGTGTGTGTGTGTGTGTGTGTGTATGAGAGACAGACAGACAGACAGACAGAGAGTATTAGTTTCCCAGTTTCCCTTCTTTTGGCTTTGCTGGTATAAGATTATTTCCTGTGTTTCCGTGGTAGTAGTTACTCTCCATGGATTAGAGTTTTTCTTCTGGAGAGCTGGATTTGTAGATAGATATTGTTTAAATTTGATTTATTTGGAATATCGTATTTTCTCCATCTGTGGTAATTGAAAGTTTTGCTGGGTATACTAGTCTGGGTTGGCATCTGTGGTCTCTTAGAGTCTGCAGCACATGTGTCCAGGTCCTTGGCTTTTAGAACCTTCATTGAGAAATCAAGTGTAATTCTAATAGATTTATGTGTTATTTGGTGTTTTTTTCTTCAGTTTTTGGTAGCATGAATATTAAAAAATCCTATTAATTAAAAAAAAACCCATAGACACATATAGGAGTGAAAGCTGAAAGATCAGAGAAACAGAACAAGCCAGCCATGTTTTTACCACTACAAAATCCTCAGTCTCAAGAGTATGAGTTCCTTTTTCCTCATGCCTTATATACCTTTCTCTGCCCAGACATTACTTCCTGGGATTAAAGACATGTGTGCTTCCCAGTACTGGGATTAAAGGTGTGTGCCATCACTACCAGGCTCTGTTTCCAGTGTGGCCTTGAACTCACAGAAATCCAGACAAATCTCTGCCTCCCAAGTGATAGGATTAAGGATGTGTGCCACCACTGTCTGGCCTCTATGTCTAATCTAGTGGCTGGCTCTGTCCTCAGATCCCCAAGCAAGTTTATTAGGGTATACAATATATCACCATAGCTTTTAATATTCTTTCTTCAATGTTTAATGTTTAGATTATTATGTGGTGAGGGGACATTTTTGGTTCAATCTCTTTTGTGTTCTGTATGCTTCTTTTACTTTGATAGGCCTTTCCTCCTTAGGTTAGAGACATTTTCTTCTATTATTTGGTGAACATATTCTCTGTGCCTTTGACCTGAGTTTCTTCTTTTTCCTCTATTCTTTATTCTTGTATTTGTGTAGATGTAACCAACCGTCTTATAAAATAAGAAACACAGAGCTGATTCAGAGAAGAAAGCCAAGAGGTCAGAGTTAAGAGCCTCACCCTTCCTGCTTCAGCGATCCTCTTCAGTCAAGAGAGCTCTCCGAAAAGGGGCCTACTTCCTGTGTGTATGTCTTTATATAGTCTAGCTGTTCTGCCTTCTCATTGGTTGTAAACCCAGACACGTGACTGCCTCGTCACTGCCTGTATGTACAGTCCTTCAGGTCCTCTATGGTATTGAGATTAAAGGCGTGCGCCACCACCGCCACGCAATTGCTATGGCTCTAATAGCTCTGACCCCTGGGCAACTTTATTTATTAGCATATGATTAAAATCACATTTCAGTACAAGTAAAATACCACCACATATTTGTTCTTTGTAATATCCTAGTTTTCCTGTATTTTTTTAGGAATTTTTTTTTTTAAATTTTCTTTGACCAATTTATCCATTTCTTCTATGTTAACTTCAATGCCTGAGATTCTTCCATCTCTTCTATTCTGTTGGTAAAATTGCCTGTATAGTTCCTGTTTGTATTCCTAAACTTTTCCAAAATTCCCTTAGTTTGTATTTTCTTTATTGCTTCCATTTCCATTTTCAGGTTTTCAACAGGTTTTATTCATTTCCTTCAACTTTTTTTTTCCTTTTTCTTGATTTATTTAAAGGATTTATTCATTTCCTCCAATTCTTGTGTTTTCTTCACTTTCTTTAAGAGATTTATTTATTTCATCTTTAAGGACCTCTATCATCTTCATATAGTTGGTGTTAAGGTCTTTTTCTTGTGCTTCAGCCTATGTTGGAATATTCAGGGCCTGCTGTGCTAGGATAGCTGGGTTCTGGTGGAAACATATTGCCCTGGCTGTTGTTGACTATGTTCTTATGCTATCATCTAGGCATCTGGGTTTGGGATGATTAAAGGTCTAGGTCTTGATTTTCTGCATTTTTATAAGTTGTGTGGGTGTTATGTTCCTTGGTTTTTATTTCCTTTTTGTATTTTTCTGTCTCTTTCTCTCTCCTTCTCTTTGGTAACAAGATCATAGGTCAGTTCCTGAGGAGGCTTGGGTGGGATTCTGATTTAATAAGATAAAAGCATGGGTCATAAGAAGTCTACACTATATCTTACTCTATATGAGGTTCATAATTCTACCCTGGCAATCCTCAGAAGAGTACTTCTTACATCTGGGAAAGGAGTAAGTCCATACTCAAGAGGTTTTATATACTTTGGCCTCAAACATAGCTCATTGGTATTTGAGATATCACTAAAAAAAGATTTTCTTTGCCTACAACATTTTGTTATTTTGTGTTATGGTTAATATTCATTTTGACTTGGTAAGATCTGGAATCAGTCAAAAGAGACTTCTCCAGGCACACCTGTGAGGGCTTATCTAGATCATGTTATTCTCTGGGGTGTGCTTAGATATGTTAGCTTATAAATTAAGTTCATTGAGATGAGAAGACTTGTCTCCCTTCCAGAAGTGATATCACCATTCCATTCCATGGTCTTGGTACTGAATTATGCAATAAGGACCAACATTTATCACTCTCTGCCTCCTGATTGTGGATACAGTGTGATCAGATTAATAGCATATTAATACTGTATATTGATTATATACAGTAGGTTGAAGGAATAGAAACTACCCTTGCTTGCTATCTGGCTAGAGTCTAGACTGTTTGAGAGTTTACTGAGATTCCTCTGTCTGTGTCTTGACTGTCAATCCAAGATTGAAGGTCTCGTGGAGAGCTGATGATCCTGTTACAGATTTGAAACACCTGCAGAAAGGACCTGAGAGGACACTGCTTACAGTGGGCACCTGAAGGTGTGGTAGAGTCTAGAACCATAGGCTAACCAAGGACAGCTTCAGGCATGGAAGAGAAATGACATGGTAGGAAATGTGTGTGTGCTAGGGATGGTAAAGCCTGAAACATGGAACTTCCCCAGTCCATGAGAGCCCAAATCAGAATATCATTAAGAGTCTCAGAATTTGCAAAATGTGATACAGGAAGCTGCTCAAAAAGGGAAGAACAGGAGCATAGCTTTCTGTTTTGGTTTCCTTAAATGTGATTTATTATTTGCTGTGCTCCTGTTCTTCCAGTTTTGAAAACAGTGGGCTGTTATTCATTTTTTTCACAGAGTATACATTTAGGAGACTGTAGCCTTTTTAAATGTTGGAATTTTTAAAGACTATGGGATTTAAGAAGTTAATTTTGTAGCTAGAGTTTTATCCAGTCCTGCCTGGCCCATGGTCTGGACAAATCTCTCTCACCCACCAGTCCCGCAGCCACTTAGACCCAACCAAGTAAACACACAGAGACATATTGCTTACAAACTGTATGGCCACAGTAGGCTTCTTGTTATCTAGTTCTTATATCTTAAATTAACCCATTTCTATTAGTCTATAAGTTGCCATGTGGCTCATGGCTTACCAGTACCTTACATCTCACTTTTCATGGTGGTGGCTGGGTGGCTGCTATCTCTCTGCCTCGGTCGTCCACTTCCCGGAATTCTCTTCTCTGCTTGTCCCACCTATACTTCCTGCCTGGCTACTGGCCAATCAGCATTTTATTTATACAGAATGATATCCACGGCACTTATGTTATGATTAACATGAGACTTTGGGGACCATGGATGAAAACATCTTTTTTGATAGGGATGTACCATAAAATTATGAGTCAAATGAATATTTTATCCCCAAAGTTACTTTGACTCAGATTATTTTATCTATTTAATAGAAATGAAACTACTTCACTACCCTTTTTTCTGCTCAAAATAAAAAGAACCCAGATATTAATTCATTGACATCTACAAGACTTCTTACTGAAACACACTTTTAATAGTGATCTTCAACATACAAGTTTGAGTCCTTTTCTGTGTCACTAATGTATAATTCTTTATTGCTCTCTATTACATCATCAGCCCTGCAACCATATACATAAAACCAAGAAAAACAGACTCAGCAGTTTGTCTTCATATATTTTAGCATACTTATTCATTCATCCTTTACCAGGAAGAATTTGGAAGCAAACTATTTGAGAAGGGATGGAGTGAATAGAAAAAATGGGAAAGTGGTGTTATATTTTTTAAATAAACTGTATAGAAATAAATTTTAAATAGAAAGAGGGACTAGAGAGATGGCTCAGCAATTAATAACTCTGAGTGTTTTTAACAGAGGACCCAGGTTCCATTCCCAGAACCCACATGGTAGCGAACCATTTGCTGTAACTCCAGTCCCAGGCATCTCCTACCTTCTTCTGGACTCTGTAGGTCCTGTGAACATACACATTCAGGCAAAATACCCACAGAACTAAAATTTAAAACCAATTTAAAAAAGAAAAGAAAAAAGGAAAGAATGGAATTTTCTGTAGTGATATCACAGGCCTGAGACAGACAGCATCCAAGGGTAATTAAAATGAACTCCTTGTCCTGCATAGAAGAAGCTGTGATCTTCTTCTGAGCCATCTGCACAGAGGTAAAAGCAACCTTGTTCTGAGCTGAAAATAGCTCAGCAGAGCTATCAAACTAAGAGCAGTAGCCATAGTGCTGATAGGTAACTTTTCCTTGATGTTTTCTGTGTTTGCATTCTCTGTCCTTTGTTTTGTGAGAATTGATACATCTATCTATTAGATGAAACATCATGATTGACAGGCATCATAGGCTCCAAAGCAATCTAATTTCATTGTGCCATTTCCTTGATTTTCAGCTTAGACCTTGTGGTATAAGATGAACATGCCAGAGAGATTTCTTTCCATCATTTTTATAACTTATATATGTTCCTGCATGACTTTGAGGCGAGAATGTCCCTAAATGTCACTCCTTTTAGATTGTGATCATGTTCAGACATGGATTTGTTAACTGAGCATGCCTAAGAAGTGGGAGAATGCTACATGAACATGTCCAGACTCCCTAAGTAAAATCCCCATGCTTCCTCTGTTTTGGAAAAACATTGGTTTGGAAATAACTCCTATGCTCTCCTTGCCTCCTGCAGGCAAGAAATTTTTCTCATTTCTTCCATCTTGACTGTTGTGATGGCTATTCTTGGTAGTCAAAGTAACTACCTCTGAAATTAACCAATATACAAAGAAATGGGTATACCTGGGAAGGATTTTACTTAATTAAAGGTTTTAAAATGGGAAAATCCTTCATTAATCTTGAACTTTTGAGGTAATAAAATCTACCTGTAATCTTGTCAGACCTTCTGGTGGCAGACTACATATATAAAAGAAATTGAAGACGGAAGCTCTTTCTCTTTGAATGATTGCCTTGTCTGTGGCTGGGAAGGTTATTTCTTTATTATCTTTAGAGCCTAGATCTTAGGAATTCTGGTATATACTGAAGACCATCTGAGACATCCAGCCTCATGGATTAAAGAACTATTGAATTCTTCAACTTTTCATTGGTAAACAACCAATGCTGGACTAGCTGGACTACACTCTGAGATATTCTAATAAATCCACTTACTAAATACATACAGAGATTTATTTTATCAGTTCTATTCAAGCAGAGAACCTTGATTAATACTGCTGTTTTTTCAGCTGCCCATTGAGTAACACATGCTAGCTAACTATAGTGACCATAAAAGCATTTTTCCTTGTTCAGTCTCTAAGTATTCAACTTATTGTGATTACTACACTTTTTATTATTATTATTATTAAATAATTATTAAAATAATTATTATTATTATTTTATTATTATTAAAATTTCAAGTGATTGAAATGCATTTCAGAAGAAAACTCCTAAAGCAATGGAGCCATCATCCAGCCTTCTGATGGGAGAAAGACCTATCATCTTGTTTGTGATCTAGTTCCTGCTTTTCTCTTCTGGTTGTCTGAAGTCCCTGGGACAACCAGATAAAAAGTACCTTGAGTTCACCTGACCTCAGCATGGAGCCACAGAGCAAACATCTCCTTTTTTGTCCTAAAATCTCTCTTAATTGCTAATATTTTGGACACCCTTCTGTTGTTCAAATGTTAAATGTTCTTATAATAAAAATCCCTGAGCCAGATATTGGGGTGAAAGCTGAAAGATCAGAGAAGCAAAGTAAGCCACTGCCATGTCTTTCTTGAGTCCTCACTCAAAAGGGTCTCAGTTGAACTGGCCCCAGCAAGAGCCCTGCACCACTTCTGACTGACAGACTGGAGGCCCTGGTTGGCTCCTGAAGACTGAGTGACAAGAGAAAGTCCCTTAGGGCTACCCTGTGCTTAAAGACAATAGCACAGTGATTCCTTGGCCCTGCCTCCCACTCCAGACCCAGACTTTTCCAAATTTACACAGGTAAGCATTTCAATAGTACTTGCCTTGGCTCCATGGAAGATGGCTGACCCTGCTATCTTCCTGCACTCCATAGGCACTTTCCATTCTTCCTCTTGCACAGCCCATTACACAATGTGGAATAGAATGATTCCCCTCTCCCCCAGGTGGAGGGCTATAATGATAATAGTGTGTACCCTAATAAAGCTTGCCTGAGTATCAGAGGACAGAGCAAGCCACTAGATTAGACACAGATTAAATTAGAGGTCAGGCAATGGTGGTACACACTTTTAATTCTAAAACTCAGGAGGCAGAGATCCATCTGGACAGCTGTGAGTTTCAGGTGGCAGTCAATTGCTGAAACAGGCAGGGATTTTCAAGGAATTTATCATCATTATAAAGAAGGCCCTTGCTATAGAATGGAAGCATTACAAGGTGCCCCAATTTATGGAAGGAGTAAGCAAAGTGATTTCAAGTCCCAGGAAGCAACTTCATACAAAATCTGCTGCTCCTGTGGTCCAAGTATGTTAATGTCCATCCCAATTAAGAAATCAAACTTTGCAGGATCACCCTTCATGGGCTAGTCCTGGAAACAAGAAAATCAAATTTTAAGGTCAAGATTTTTACTCTGTGGTTGCAGTTCAGGATTGTTGCAAGCATCTGTGTTTGGCAGAGTCAGAAACCCAGTGAGAAGACTGTAAGAGTTCATTGCATGATGCTTGGTGTTATTGGTTTTTTTTTTTTTTTAACTCTTTACTCTTGGTGTCCTGCTACTCAGCTTTCAACACTCACACACACAGAGGCTTATTCTTTCTTACAAATGCCCAGCCTTAGTTTGGGTTGTTTCTAGCCAGATTTTCTTAAATTATCCCATCTACCTTATGCCTCTGGGCTTTTATCTTTCTCTATTCTATATGCCTCTGGTCTTTTATCTTTCTCTATTCTGATTATACCTTTCTTTACTTCTTACTCCATGGCTTGCTATGTAGCTAGGTGGCTAGCCCCTGGTGTCCTCTCATTTTCTTGCTCCTCCTTCCTTTTTTTTCTTTCCAGATTTTTCTTCACATTTATTCTGTCTGCCAGCCCTGCCTTTCCTTTCTTGCAAAGCTATTGCCCATTCAAGTCTTTATTAGATCAATCAGATATTTTAAACAGGCAAAGTATCACAGTCTTACAGAGTTAAACAAGTGCAACACAACAGAATGCAACACATCTTTGCATCGTTAAAACAAATGTTCAACATAAACAGATATAACACATTTTAAAATAATATTCCACAACAGCCTGGGTAGCATTTTGAGACCACAAGATGTTGAGATATCTAAGATATGAGACATTTTACATGGAGACTGAACTGCATATAGGGAGTGAAAGTAACCAAAAAGAGAGATGTATGAGAAGTTGCAGGAATAGGGCCATCTAAGCCCTTTGAAACTGAAGCCCTATGTGTCTGAGACAGAGATAAAGAATTTGATGTTTGTCCTGCTGTGCTTCAGTCTTGCCTTGGTCCAATCTTCCCTCACTATGTCTCCATTTCTCTCATTTGGAATGGTAATGGTATTCCAATATCTATTGTATGTTGGAAAGATGTAACTTGATTTATGAGTTTACAAGATGGCACTGTCAAGAGATGGTCTTGAGTATCAGAAGAGACTTTGGACATTTGAACAGCTCAGGGGCTGTTGCAGATTATGAGGATCATTGAAGTGACTAAATGCATTTTCTTTGTGGATGACCATGAGCCTATAGTGACCTGTGTCAGAATGAATGAAAACCTCCCAGATAGAATGATATATTTGAACATGTGTATCTCCTTGGTGACTTTCTTTAAATTGCTTGTGAAACCTGTAGTAGGAGGGGCCTTTCTGGATGAAATTCCTCATTGGGAATAGGATAGTCTCAACCCATTTACTGTAGTTTGTATCTACTGTGTTGTGGTTGAAACTAATCAGCCAGCTTCCTTGTACTGTTATGCCTTTACTACCATTATAGACTCTATCTCTAAATCACATAAAATACAGTAGAAGCAATTACTATTGCAGGCTAAGGCAGTTTGGTAGCCTGCTGTTTTTGTTTGTTTGTTTGTTTGTTTGTTTTTGAAGACAAGGTTTGTCTTTATAGCCCTGGCTGTCGTGAAAGTAGCTCTGTGCACCAGGCTGGGCTTGTACTCAGAGATCCCCCTGACTCTGGCTCCTAAATCCTGGGATTAAAGGTGGGCCAACATTCTTGGCTTTTTTTGATTTTATATTATTGGGTGATGGGCCTGTGGTGTAGGTTTTTGTACACATCAAGCATATGCTGGTGTACTAAGCTTTACTCATATCTTGAATTTAAAAATTTGGCAGAGGTTATCATTCTACTTCCCAGGATGGCATGTATTCACGACATTAATACTGCCTGAGCCTTCTGAGTCATTGGATTGTAGGTGCATGACCTTCTTCCTGCCTGTTGTGTTTGTTTTGAATTTTTTAAATGAATATCAGTATTTTACTTGTATGCATGGGTATGCACCATGTGGGTGATCACCTCATAGTGTTCAAAAGATGGTCTCAGAAACCCTGAACTTGGAATAATGAATAGTTCTGATGCCCATGTAAGTACTGGCAATTGAGCCTACCTATATGCAAGACCAGCAAGAGCTCTTTACTACTGAGCCATCTCTCCTGCCCTGTGTTGATTATATATGATCAACATTTATATCGTTTATGTTTTCATCTGTCCATTTGTAACTGTTTAAAAATGTAAAATCTTTTAGTAATAATATTTTAGTAAATAATCTTTTAGTAAAATCTTATTGATGTTATAGTATAAATTAGGGCACTTCAGGTTTCTGGAAGGTGAATACAGAACTGGAATGAATGCATAACTCTTTGTAGGCACTTCAGTAAAAACCTCTGAGTTCTTTCTATCATTTTTGTTAGTTTGACTGATTTTTTTTTGAGACAGGGTTTCTCTGTGTAGCTTTGCGTCTTTCCAGGAACTCACTTTGTAGACCAGGATGGCTTCGAACTCACAGAGATCTGCCTGCTTCTGCCTCCCGAGTCCTGGGATTAAAGGCATGCACCACCACCACCTGGCAAGATTGACTAATTTTTTTACATGGGAGACAGGGTGTCAATATGTACTTCTGGCTGTCCTGGACTTGATTGCATAGACTAGGTTGGCATTCCACTCAGAGGCAGATATACTTGCCTCTTCCTTCTGAGTGCTGGGGTTAAAGGTGTGAGCCAGTTTATCTATCTTATTTTTCTTCTCTGTAGTTAGTAACTGCTCATACAATTTCTCTCATGTGTACTCTGTACTGTTGATCTGTTTATTTGTCTCTCTGTGTTTGTTAATAGGCATTTCTCTTGTAAGGTGATATTCCACTCAAACGGTACAGAAATGACAGAGATGACCCTCCTATCAAGTTTTCTTCAAAATGACTTAGTGGTTACATTATAATGTATATGTCATGGAATAAGTGTGGGGAGCACAAGAATTATATGACTATGCTATGTTGTCAGTATCATGCCTTCTGTTGTACACATGTATGGGATGTTTTAGAATGCAGTGACCTATGATGATGTGCATATTGACTTCACTTGGGAAGAGTGGACTTTGCTGGATCCTTCCCAGAAGAATCTCTACAAAGATGTGATGTTGGAGACTTCCAGGAACCTCACTACTATAGGTAAGACAGAATTTTTCTTTACATTTTAAAATAAGGGGGCAACTGTTCTTTGGTTATTGTTGCTCCTCTAATATGATTGAGAAAGAAGATGAATGATGTGAATGAATCAATCATAGTACTAAGGTTCACTGAAGACAATTTTCAATAATATAACATACATTTTCTGGTACTATATTTTAGGATACAGTTTGGAAGACTATAATATCAAAGAACATCATCACAGTTCTAGGAGATATGAAAGGTAATTTTCATGTGCTAGGTGATACAACTGTGCCTCTGAAAAAATTGTTATATGCCCTGGAAGTTTTAAACAAAAGCAACAGTGTAAATAAGCACAGCTTATAGTGCATTGATGATTATTAAATTCTCACAAAACCATATACCTCTATTTCAGGTAGGTGAATTGCATTTGCCATGCATTATTTTAAGAAAGAAAACAAGAAAACAACGCCTTAACAGATATTGCCATTTGAATCATAGCACCATGAGAGCTATGCTGTCTTACAAAAGGCATATTTGTTGTGACTGTGCTCAGTTGAGTGAGAGGGGAAATTAGAGTCAAAAGTCAAGGGACAGTTTTTGTGGAGAAACTTTAATCCTTATACCATAAGTCTATGAGGAATAGAAAGTCATACAGTGAATTAAATGTGGAAACCTTTTATTTGTTATTCTTTCTTTACTAGGTAGATCATATATTACTCTGGATACAAGCCATGTGAGCATAGTGATATGGAAAGACATAACATACATCTCTCTCAGAGCAATTAGAAGATATGTAGGAGTCCCCACATTAAGTATACTTGTTGAATTTGATTCAAGCATACAAGTAATTGGTTTTCCAGCTTTACTGTTAATACATCAACAAACTCACACTGCAGAAAAGCCCTATGAGTATTAGGATATTGCTGCCTGGTGTGCCAACCTCCAGTCAGCACCAAGGTATGCAAAAGAAATCCAAAAATGTGTCAAGGTCTAGACTTTTTCTATCTGGAGGGTGCAAGGAAGAAAGCACATATATTCTGATGGTAACTTTCTGTATTACTGCAGCTTGAAAAAAATCTGTCTCTACACAGTTATGTCTTTCTCCTACAGCTACATCTCTCTTCTATACAGCCACACATCTCTACAGCTACATCTCTCTACTATACAGCCATATATCTCTACACACAGTTACATCTCTTTTCTATATATCTCTTCCTACATACATCTTTACATAGCTACCTACTACTCCATCTCTCTGCACAGCTCTCTCTTCTACATAGCTACTCATCTCTCTACACAGCTCTTTCTGCACACATCTCCTTCAACAAGAAAACTCTGGACTGTAGCTAGAGTTTTCCTGCCTGGCCCACAGTCAGGACAAATCTATGACACCCGCCAGTCCCACAGCCATTCAGACCCAACCAAATAAACACAGAGACTTATATTGGTTACAAACTGTATGGCCATGGCAGGCTTCTTGCTAACTGTTCTTACAGCTTAAATTAATCCATTTCTATTAATCTATACCTTGCCATGTGGCTTGTGGCTTACCGGTACTTTACATCTTCCTTGTCCTGATGGTGGCTGGCAGTGTCTCCCTCCCCCAGCTTCCTGTTCTCTCAATTCTCCTCTCTGTTAGTCCCACCTATACTTCCTGCCTGGCCACTGACCAATCAGTGATTTATTCATTGACCAATCAGCAACACATTTGACATACAGACCATCCCAGAGCACTTCCCCTTTTCTTTTCTTAAAAAGGAAGGTTTTAACCTTTACACATCTCCAAAGTCAGCTTGGTATATTTGGGAATTTGGATGTAGCTTCTCTTACTACTTCCTGCTAGAGGGGGGCGCTGTATCTTATGGGGACACAAAGAATATTTTAGGATTATGGAGTAGTCCATGAGGGTATATCGTCTGAGCCAGTTGCCTTGAAACGGTTCTGGATGTTGGATCATCTGGGCCATGGTGTCATCTGAGACCTTTCAGGTGGTCTTGGCTGGTCAAACCTGATGTATCTTAATCTGGAACAAATCCATAGCCTCTGGCTTTCTGTGGGAACAAAAGCAGAATCTCCTTTCCAAACCAACATATCCTTATATCCAAATTTTGAAGTCAAGGTACCTTTAAAATATACATTTTGGCATAACTCAACAGCTTTTGTAATCAAATGTTTTTCTTCAGTTACGAATATCAAAGAGAACATAATCCAGATTCTCTGTGTGGTAGCCATCTTTACATGGCTTATTTTTTTATATTAGCTTGAGCCTATTGCTTTAAACTGTAGCCTTCTAAGCCTGAAACGGCACTGGCGCTGTGGCTGCTGGCTCTGCCCACTTCAGCTTCCCAAACATGGCGGTGATACGTTTTCTGCCAGCTCTGGGAGCCATCAACTCTCAGAAATAGTGGGTCTATGCTTCTATCAAAGCAGCGTGTAGCCCAGAAACCTCTTTTTTTTTTTGTACTAGCAAAGGCTAAATCCACCACATAGCTTAATGTGCCACTTGCAGAGGCCTCATTCCCACCATACTGCAGGTCGAGCATGCACGCATGCTAGGAACCCGCCAGTAGCTCAAACTGGCAGCTGCCGCTCATTTGAGAGAGACAATTAGGAAGCTGTTTTTAGCTCCGTTTTAGAATCTTTTTTCTTAGGTTTTAGGTGGAAACTCTTGCCACCACGTTGGACGCCATTTGTAGCTAGAGTTTTCCTGCCTGGCCCACAGTCAGGACAAATCTATGACACCCGCCAGTCCCACAGCCATTCAGACCCAACCAAATAAACACAGAGACTTATATTGGTTACAAACTGTATGGCCATGGCAGGCTTCTTGCTAACTGTTCTTATAGCTTAAATTAATCCATTTCTATTAATCTATACCTTGCCACGTGGCTTGTGGCTTACCAGTACTTTACATCTTCCTTGTCCTGATGGCAGCTGGCAGTGTCTCCCTCCCCCAGCTTCCTGTTCTCTCAATTCTCCTCTCTGTTAGTCCCGCCTATACTTCCTGCCTGGCCATTGACCAATCAGTGATTTATTCATTGACCAATCAGCAACACATTTGACATACAGACCATCCCACAGCACTGGACAATATGTAAGTTATAATTCGTTGTCTGAGCCATTTTGATAACACATGAGAAAATGATAGTTTCTCTCAGGCTAGGGGTTCATGCTGACTGGCCAGTGATTAAGCAAGCCTGCAGGTTTAAGTGATCAGCATGCCCCAACAGAGAGTGACATTGAAATTCAGGACCTAAACAATGAATAGGTAGTTGGCTGAACCTTGAGTCTTGTATCATAAAGTAAGGTTGGGAGTATATGCAGAAAGTCAATTGCTGAGAGGATTTGTACAGGGAATTGTGTTTTCATGCTATCTGCCAGGTTTTTGTAAGTGGAAAAACTGGCACAAAAGTTGTTTCACGCCTCACCTTGGTACAGCAATAGACACCTGAGAACTCGTCCTTGTGCAGTTCATCTCCAGGGGCAACTAGTCCATTGTGGATTTGCTATGAGATCTACAATTAGCTAAATGTATAAAAATATGTCTTTGTTTGTAGCTGAGAATACTTTTATTTTCCTATGTCAGTCTGAGTTATGAAAAATATCCCAGGATTATTTCTATTCATCAAAACTGTACAGCTTAAGAAGACATCATCTTCCTGACCATCCACAGATATATGTGTACCTAGTAGATGGAATATATACATGAGATAAACACACAAGCAGTGGAGAAAATATCTATAGCTGTTTTATGAAAGAAATGTAGTGACACATGAGAAAAAATAAAGACAGAGGCAATCAGTCATTCACAGACTGTACCCCAATGGTTTTTTCTAAGTGGAACTCCCCATCAGATAATTATTCATCTGGTGGGTTGACCTTAATTATTAATTGCCATCTGTTGTATTTATGTAATGGTTTGTTGTAGCTAAAGTTTTCCTGCCTGGTCCACAGTCAGGACAAATCACTCTCACCCACCAGTCCCACAGCAGCTCAGACCTGACCAAGTAAACACAGAGACTTATATTGGTTACAAACTGTATGGCCGTGGCAGGCTTCTTGCTAACTGTTCTTATAGCTTAAATTAATCCATTTCTATTAATCTATACCTTGCCACATGGCTCGTGGCTTACCGGCATCTTCACATGCTGTTTCTCATCATGGCGGCTGGCAGTGTCTCTCCTACTCAGCCTTCCACTTGCCAGCTTTATTTTCCTCCTTGTCCTGCCTATACTTCCTGCCTGGTCACGGCCCAATCAGTGATTTATTTACCAACCAATCAGAGCAATACATTTGCCATACAGAACATCCCACAGCACTTCCCCCTTTTTTTTCAAAAAGGAAGGTTTTAACCTTAACAAAGTAAAATGACATATAATTTGAGAATTTGGGCGTAGCTTCTCTAACTACTTCCTGCTGGAGGGGGGCGCTGTATCTTATGGGGACACAAAGAAAATTTTAGGATTATGGAGTAGTCCATGAGGCTGTACCGTCTGAGCCAGTTGCCTTGAAACCATTCTGGCCGTTGGATCATCTGGGCCATGGTGTCATCTGAGACCCTTCAGGGTGTCTTGGCTGGTCAAACCTGATGTATCTTAATCTGCAACAAATCCATAGCCTCTGGCTTTTTGTGGGAACAAAAGCAGAGTCTCCTTTCCAAAGCAACATATCCTTATATCCAAATTTTGAAGTCATGGTATCTTTAAAATATACATATTGGTTTAACTCAACAGCTTTTACAATCAAATGTTTTTCTGCAGTTAAAAATCCCAAAGACAACACAATGCAGATTCTCTGTGTAATATCCATTTTTACGTGGCTTATTTTTTATACTACCTTTACTGTCTCTTTAAAGACTTTATTTTTTTAAAACTATGTATTTGTTTCTATAACTCTATATATCATCTTTTTTGTCTCTTTCAAGCCTACGTATATTTTACACACATTTTAAACTATTACATCTGAATCTGTCTTATTGTGAATCTATTGCTTTAAACTGCAGCATCTGTGGCTACTGGCTCCGCCCACCTCAGCTTCCCAACATGGCTACGTTTACCACCAGTTCTGGGAGCTATCGTGGGTCTATGCTTTTATTCAAGCAGCATGTAGCCCATAATACTCTTTTTTTGTTTTCTACTAGCAAAGGCTAAATCCACCACACAGCTTAATGTGACACTTGCAAAGGTCTCATTCCCGCCATAGGGCGTATGCTAGGAACCCACCAGTAGCTCAAACCGGCAGCTGCCACTCATTTGAGAGAGATAATTCGGAACTGTTTTTAGCTCAGTTTTAGAATTTTTTTTCTCAGTTTTTAGGTGGAAAGTCTTGCCACCACGTTGGACGCCATTTGTAGCTAAAGTTTTCCTGCCTGGCCCACAGTCAGGACAAATCTCTCTCACCCACCAGTCCCACAGCATCTCAGACCCAATCAAGTAAACACAGAGACTTATATTGGATATAAACTGTATGGCCGTGGCAGGCTTCTTGCTAACTGTTCTTATAGCTTGAATTAATCCATTTCTATTAGTCTATACCTTGCCACATGGCTCGTGGCTTACCGGCATCTTTTCATGCTGTTTGTCATCATGGCGGCTGGCAGTGTCTCTCCTACTCAGCCTTCCACTTGCCAGCTTTATTCTCCTCCTTGTCCTGCCTATACTTCCTGCCTGGTTATGGGCCAATCAGTGATTTATTTCCCAACCAATCAGAGCAATACATTTGCCATACAGAACATCCCACAGCAGTTTGTGACTCTACAATTGTGTAAATACTTCTGTTTGTGCTAGTTAACTTAGAAAATGTGGTATGACTCACTGCTGGAGTCCACTTCTTGGATGTGGGCAGGGTATGAAGATCATAGGAATCAGACACAGGACACTTCTTAGTTTTGTTTTAGGACAGATGGACAGAGAAGAAGCATATCTTGACATGGCTTGTCCTACTCTGACAACCTCTTATCTCTTACAGGCTTCATTTATACACAAAATCATTTTCACTTGAGCATCTTTTAATCATCATTGATAAACAAAGTTATCTTTTCCAATCATTTCCTTCAAGTTTTGACATCATTGATAAACAGAGTTAATCATTTTTACTCATTAACCCCATAACCCAATTCTTAAGAATGTAGAGGTATATGACAGCCTGTTCTCAGGCTGGTCGCTCTAATGGCTACTTGAAGGATGCTAGATGAAAACAAAATTTGTATGCCATCCCAGGCATTTTGTCCTGTCCCATGCATGTTATTATTAACTCTTAACAGTCAGTGTGAATGACAAATACCCTCAGCCCAAACCTGCTGCAGTTATTATTCAAATTCTGGCATTATACAATGTTTATATTTTATATCTTTACAGAATTTGTCTATATGTCTAATCTGTTGTTCCTTGGTCATATGACACCACAATGGCTATACATGTGCTAACTTTTCTGAGAAAGGGAGGTCCTGACATATTATTATATTACCTCTCCATTCCATTTTTGGTTCATCAATATAAGTCTCTGTGTAGGACAGAGGTAAATTCAGCTAATCTAACTTTGTTGCTGTATGTGCCCCATAATTGCCTGAGTGTATAGTGAGAAGAGTCTTGCAATTTCAACTGTGGTCAACTCCTTTAGCCCACCAAATCATGTTGACCTTTTTGAGTTTGTTTGGAATGTGTTGTTCCTGCAAAAGTAAAGGAACAGATGTTTCAAGAATGTCTCATCACCTCATAAAGAGACTTTTGGCTTTTTTATGTACATCACAATCTCCAAGGCATAAGAAAGACCTTCAAGTAGCTAAGGATATCTCCATAGAAGCAGGGGGATGTAGTATGTTCAGTACTGTCATGAGGAAGCTTAGAAGTAGCATTCCTGGGAGAAGGCATAAATGTTTCATATGAAATTTTCCATCAGTCCAGTATCCCCATTTTGTACAAATATTAAAAATCTCCTAAGTATGCAACAGGTGGAGATTAAAACCAAAGGTGGCACAGAAGCCATCATGTGGCTCAGATTTGCTGTATCTTTGTCAAGCAGCTGGCTTTATGACTTTTGCCATTCTCATCAGATATAGCTGTGGTAGCTCACAATATAGGAAAATTTGTGAATGCAGTAAGGGTGATAAAGTTCTGAGTTTTTCCAGTTCTCTTCAGATATGTGAAAAATCTCTTACAGAAAAAGATTCGGTAAATGTGAATCATGTAATAAAGGATCTTACCATCACAGGTCTCTTCAAAATAATGCAAAGCAATCCTTAATTAAGGGGAAGAATATGAGTGTAAACACAGTGACATTGAATGTGGTAAAGCTTTTACATGTGCCAATTATTTTTGGAGGTATGAAAGAATTCAAAGTGGAGAGAAACCTGAATATATTCAATGTGTTAAAGCCTTTGCATATGGGCGTCAGCTTCAAAGGCATGAGAGAATACATACTAGAGGGAAACCCTATGAATGGACTCAATGTGGTAAAGCCTTTGCACATCACAATAATCTTCAAATGCATAAAAGAAAACATACTGGAGAGAGGCCCTATGAATGTAATCAGTGTGAAAAAGCCTTTGTATATCAAAGTCATCTTCAAATGCATAAAAGTAAAACATACTGGATAGAAACCCTATGAATGTAATCAATGTGATAAAGTTTTTGCATGTAATAGTACTCTTCAAAGACATGAGAGAACACATAGTAGAGAGAAACCCTATGAATGTAATCAATGTGGTAGAACCTTTTCTCATCACAATGATCTTCAAATGCATAAAAGAACACATACTGCAGAGAAACACTATGAATGTAATCAGTGAAAAAGCTTTAGAATGTCAAAGTCAACTTCAAATGCATAAAAGAAAACATACTAGAGAGAAACTATATGAATGTAATCAGTGTGATAAAGTCCTTGCTTGTAATAATTGTCTTCAAAGGCATAAAAAAACACATACTGGAGAGATACCATATGAATGTTCTCGATGTGGTAAAGCCTTTGCACAATACAGTGATCTTCAAAGACATAAAAGAACACATACTGGAGAGATACCATATGAATGTTCTTGATGTGGTAAAGCCTTTGCACAATACAGTGATCTTCAAAGACATAAAAGAACACATACTGGAGAGAAACTCTACAAATGTAGTAAATGTAGTAAAGCCTTTGCACAGCACTGCACTCTTCAAGTACATAAAAGAAGACATACTGGAGAGAAACCCTATGAATGTACTCAGTGTGAAAAAGTCTTTGCATGTAATAATACTCTTCAAGTACATAAAAGAACACATACTGGAGAGAAACCGCATGAATGTACTCAGTGTGAAAAAGCCTTTGCATGTAATAGTACTCTTCAAATACATAAAAGAACACATACTGGAGAGAAACCCTATGAATGTACTCAATGTGGTAAAGCCTTTGCACAGCAGAGTACTCTTCAAAGGCATAAAAGAACACATACTGGAGAGAAACCCTATGAATGTAGTGAATGTGGTAAACCATTTGCATATGTCCGTAGTCTTCGAAATCATGAGAAAAAAAAACGTACTGCAGTGACACCCTATAAATGTAGTCAGTATGGTAAAGTTTTGCACTTTATAGAGGAGTAAAACGTTTTCTGTGCAATCAATCTGTTAAAGTCTTTGCATACTTCAATAATCTTTGAGTACCTGAAAAAGATACTAAGGGCTTCTTCTTATAGATTATTTGGTAAGATCTTTAGACAACACACTTACAGTCATTTGCACAACTGTAGATAAAAAAGCTGATAGTGTCAATAATCTGTTCAAACATGTCCATTTTTATATTGTTTGTACCAGCTAAACCATGGGAAAAATCAATTTATGAATTTATGAAGCCCTTTGTGTAGGGTAAAAGGGCCAGCCAAAGAAACACACCCTGACCCTGAAACCAGGGCCAAAGAAACACATTGGCTTTGAAACCAGAGCCCATGAAATAAACACCCTAGCCCTGAAATCAGAGTCAAAAGGTTAAAAGGGGCCAGTGGAAGAAACACACTTTGACTTTGAAATCAGAGGCAAAGAAACATTCTGCCTTCACCAACTGAACACAAAACCAACCAATCCCTAAGCTTGAAACCAACTAATACATAACCATGAAATCCAGCCAATCTCTTAGCTTGTTTAAGCTCAAGTTTAATTCCCAACTTGAAAATATTCTCGCTGGAAAAACACCCCTAAGAAGATCAATATAAATCCTGTGCTTGATCAGTTGGCAGCTGCCCTTTTCCACCCTGGCAGAGCCACTCACCTGGATTCCTCCCTCCCAAATGAATGCATGTATCTTTTTTGTTTTTTTTTTTGTTTTTTGTTTTTTGTTTTTCAAGACAGGGTTTCTCTGTGTAGCTTTGGCACCTTTCCTTGAACTCACTCTGTAGCCCAGGTTGGCCTCGAACTCAGAGATCCGCCTGCCTCTGCCTCCCATGTGCTGGGATTAAAGGCATGTGCCACCACCGCCCAGCCTAAATGTATGTATTTTGAATCAGTTTTGGGTGAAGAACTTCTTTTGCTTTAGCAGATCAAAACTTCCTCATGGAGTGGAGCAGAGAAACAATGGGCACCTCTGATGAGAAACTGCCTTTTTGAAGCAGTGCAGAAGTAACAACTTTTTGCATGGAACTGGAACAGACTGCTACATTTCTACAGTGCTTTCCCTCTCAGTTGAGTGAGGCAGAGAAGTAACAATTTGGGATGGATCTGAGGAGAAATGGACATCTGTGCTGGGAAACTCCATAGTACAGCAGAGCAGAGCAGAAAAACAATGAACACCTCTGCTGGGAAACTCCCATAGGGGAGTGGAGCAGAGCCCGGCTGTAATGGCTTTCTCTCAAAGAGGAGCAAGATTCCTTCATCCTGCTGTGAGATCATCCTCAGGTGGAACACAGCTTTGGGTATAGTCTGACTTCCTGACAGTTGTGATTCCTTTCTCCTCACTGCTGTAAGTATTCAGGATACCTTCCCTTCACAACTGTAGCTATAGCCTGAATTCTGACAGTCAGGGTACCTTTCTCTCCTGAGCTATAGCTATCTACAGAGCTGTAGATAGTTCAGGGACAGGGTAACTCAAGGTCAGGGTCATGGTTAGAGGGTCAGGGTTAAGGTCTGGGTGTAGGCTTAGGTCAGCATTAGAGTCAAGGGTTAGGGGGTTAGAGGGTGGGAGAGTTAGAGGATTGGGGTTGGGATAGGTGTTCCTGTCGGGGTTGAGGTCAGTATCCTGGTCAGGGTACTGATCAACATGGTCGGGGTCCGGGTCGGGTCCTGTAACTCCGGGTTTAGGGTTAGGGTTAGACTTAGGTTAGGGTTTATGTGTTAGGGATTAGGGGTAGGTTATGATTAATGGTAAAGGGTTAGAGGGTTAGGGTCATGGACAAGGTCAGAGGGTCAAGGGGTGAGAGGGTCAAGGATAGAAGGCTACTATCAGGGTCAGAATAACTCAAGGTTGAGGTTAAGGTTAGGGATAGGGTTCAGAATAGACAGGGTAGGGTGAGGGTTAGGGTTAGAGGATTAGGGTTAAGTTTAGAGTCAGGTAAGAGGTTAGAGTCTAGGGTTAGGGTTAGGGTTAGAAGGTTAGGTAACAAATTCCCCCAAGTGCCTGCCTTGAAGAGATTTTTATCAGGGTCAAGAACAGATGCTGCAAGGGGCTAAGGTTACTAATCTGAGGGATATTCAATGAATCTTAGCACACTGAGTTTGTTAGTCTATTCACTTTATTCTTCTAAGCCAATTCTATCTACACAGTTTCTTTCCTGTTCCCTTACTTAACTCCTCTTAGTGCCTCATGCTCTCAGTCCCTTCTGCTGTTCTCTCATCATTCTACCTACTTCTTTCTACCTCTGTCCTCATCTCTGTTCTCATTCAGTTCTCTCCTGTGCTCTCAGAATGCCAGTATATATACATATGCAGTAATTCTTTGGCAAAACAATACGAGGCTTGAAATTTTCAGGGTCATTGAGAGAGGTGATAAAGATGCACACTTAAAGCAATAATTGTCAGCTTCTAATTACAAAACAAAAGGGGGAGTGGTTAAAGGTGAGTCCTCTGTTAGGGTCAACTAAAGGCTAAGATCAGTTACAGAATTTATGTGCTCAAACTATAATCTAGAATTAGTTAGGTTAGGGGTCAGTAAATGACAAGAAAGTAAACTGTCTTTGGCGCCACCCTTCCTACTTGTCCAGGATGCAGCTGCTTTCTGATATGCTAGGTGGCTAAGCAACCTATGTCAGAGCATGTAACATTTGGTTAGTAAAAGCAATCAGAGTACTTTTTGAGGAGAAAATCTAGGAATAGCCACCCGGCTGGGAAGGAATTAATACTTAGTTTGCACAAGAAAGAAGCTTGACAACTATCAGGGTTAGGGTTTAGGGTTAGGGTTAGGGTTAGGGTTAGGGTTAGAGTTAGAGGGGTTAGGGTTAGCGGTTGGGAGGGAGGGCTGTGGGTGGGAGGAGGGAGGAGATGGGATATTTATGTAGAGTGAGTAGAAAATTTCTTAATAAAGAAAAATTAAAATAAAATTATGCCCTTCAAAAAAAAACAAAACAAAAACAAAAATAAATATTCCACTATTATCCTCTCTACAAAATCCCACCCCTGGGTATGCATCTACACAATCCCACTCCCATGACCTGTACACACATGACCTACCCAAGCAGCCTTAGGGGGTTAGGGTTAGGGTCAGGGTGTGGGGTCAGGGTCCGGGTTAGGATCAGAGTTAGAGGATAAGGGTCAGGGTGATGATCAGGGTCAGGGTCAGGGTGGTCAGGGTTAGGGTTGGGTTTAGGAGTTAGGGGTTAGGGTTTAGGGTTTAGGGTTAGGGGTTAGGGTTAGGTTTAGGCCTCCATTCCGTTCCTTTCCATTTCCGTTCCATTTCATTCTGTTCTGTTCTATTCCACTGTTTGTGTCAAGGTCAGGGATTAGGGTCAGGGTTAAAGTTGGGGTCAGAAGACTTAGGGTCAGGGTCAGGGTTAGAAGCATTAGGGTCATGTTCAGGGTTGGAAAAGTTAGGGTTAGGGTCGGGTATAGGGTCAGGGTCAGAGTCAGGGTCAGGGTCGGGTGTAGCATGAATACTATAGGGTCTTATTAATAAAAATCAAACCTGATGCCAGGTATGGGTTAGCCATATCCAGGTCTTCCACTCTTTCCTGTTTTTGGCAACTACATGTACCTGTCAGTGACAATACCTTGAAGCCCCCACTTTTCAGCCTCCACTTGGATGTTAAAGCTCTTCAGTTCCCAAACTGACATTCCTGTAACCTTCCTGCATGGCAGAAATAAGCATATTATAAAGAGACATTTATACCACTTGCTTTGGCTAACAACTAGCAAAGCAGTGGAACACATGATATTCTAATTTTCCTGGGAATCACATTGTGGGAAAAGACTGAGTCTTCAGGATGAAAATTTCTCTACTGAAGAAACATTTACTCCTTATCTGAACAAATGGCAGGAAAGACAGTGGCTGAAAATGGTGGAGAGTTTTTTAGATAATAAATACCCATACACTGTTTTACTCTGTTTCCTGGGATAGATGATTTGTCCCTTTTCTTCAGTTGTCTCATTTGTCCAGTGTTCTTCAGATTCCTTAACCTTCATTCTCCTAAAAGACAAAAACAAAACCCTTTCCAAAAAGACTAATTTGGGGGATGTTCCTTTTTGGCAAGTTATTATCTGATTAAATGAAAAGACATGTGTTACTGGTATAAGTTAGTTTAAATTGGATGTTCATGCTGGTTGATGAACTATCACCTCCTCTAATTAAGAGGTTTCTCTTGTTCAAATCGAACCTTTATCAATTTTGATGGTACCCACAACTTATCTTCTCCTGTAGAAACAAAAGCAAAACCTCATCCACAACGTAACACATACCCTGGTTTCCATTCTGAGGTCAGCACATCCTTAAAGTATATAGGCTTATTTAATTCTGTAGTTTTTTCTATTATCCAACGTCTCTCTGCAGCTGTTGTTCCTTTCTCATTGGCATTAAGAAAATTCAAAGTTAATAGAGCATTATGCAGTCTGTTTCTGGGGGTTTTTGTTACCCTTTTCTGTTTATTTAGCATATCCTTTAGAGTTCTGTTTGATCTTTCTACAATTGCTTGACCTGTAGGATTATGTGGTATGCCTGTAATATGCTTTATATTGTAATAAGCAAAAAACTGTTTCATTTTAACAGAGACATATGATGGAGCATTATCAGTTTTGATTTGTGCAGGTATACCCATGATGGCCATAACTTCTAGCAAATGAGTGATTACAGAATCAGCTTTTTCAGAACTCAAAGCAGTTGCCCACTGAAATCCTGAATAAGTATCGATAGTGTGGTGTACATATTTCAGTTTTCCAAATTCTGCAAACTGAAACATGTCCATCTGCCAGATTTCATTCCTTTGAGCACCCTTTGGGTTACATCCTGGTGGTAATGGTGTTTGATTGTAGAAGGAACAAGTAGGACATTTTTTTACTATTTTATTGCTTGTTGCCAGGTTATGGAAACCTTTTTTAAACCTTTACTATTGACATGATGTTTTTTATGAAATTCTGAGGCCTCCAGCACATTTCCTATTAATAATTTATCAATCTCATCATTGCCTTGTGCTAAAGGGCCTGGCAGACCAGTATGGGATTGAATGTGAGTTATATATAAAGGATGACTCCTTTTCCTGATTGTATCTTGTAATTGAATAAATAGTGAAGTTAATTCTGAAGCATCAGGGATAAATTCTGCAGTCTCACTATGTAATACTACTCTTTCAGCATACTGAGAGTCAGTTACTATGTTGAGAGGTTCTGAAAAATCCATTAATACCAACAGAATAGCATACAATTCTGATTTTTGAACTGAATTATAAGGACTTTGAACCACTTTACTTAAATTTTCTGATTTGTAACCTGCCTTTCCTTGTTTATTGGCATCTGTATAAAATGTACGAACTCCAGATATGGGTTTTTTCCCGTACAATTCGAGGCAAGATCCAATCAGCTCTCTTTATAAGATCAATTCTATCGCTTTTGGGATATTTGCTGTTAATTTCTCCCAAAAAAATTACTGCAAGCTCCTTGCCAAGGTTCACTTTCTGTCCATAATTTTTCAATGTCCTCCTTAGTTAAAGGTATGACAATTTCTGCTGGATCTATTCCTGCTAATTGACGAAGTCTCAATTTTCCTTTCCAAATCAAGTCAGAGATTTTTTCCACATAAGTTTTTAATTTTTTATTTGGTTTATTTGGTAAAAATATCCATTCTAATATAATATCTTCCCTCTGCATTAATATTCCTGTAGGAGAATGCCTATAAGGTAAAATAACCAAAATGCAATCCAGCTTTGGATCAATACGATCCACGTGCCCTTCATGTACTTTCTTTTCTACCAAGGCCAATTCTTTCTCACCTTCAGGTGATAATTCTCTTGGACTATTTAAGTCCTTGTCACCTTCTAAGGTTTTGAACAAATTATGCAGTTCATCATTTTTTACCCCAACAATAGTTCATAGATGAGAAACATCTCCAAATAATCTTTGAAAGTCATTAAGAGTCTGTAGTCTATCTCTCCTAATTTTCACCTTTTGGGGTCTAATTTTTTGTAGCTCTATTTTATATCCTAAATAATTAATAAAATCTCCTCTTTGTATCTTTTCAGGAGCAATTTGTAATCCCCAGCAAGGCAAAATTTTCTTTACTTCATCAAACATTCTTTCTAAAGTATCTGCATTTGAGTCAGCTAGTAAAATATCATCCATATAATGATAAATTATAGATTTAGGAAATTTTTTACGTATCACTTCCAATGGCTGTTGTACAAAATATTGGCACAGAGTTGGGCTATTCAACATTCCTTGTGGGAGGACCCTCCACTGAAATCTTTTAACCAGTTGAGAATTATTATAAGTAGGTACTGTGAAAGCAAATCTTTCTGTCTTTTTCTTGTAAGGGTATTGAAAAGAAACAGTCTTTTAAATCAATAACTATGAGAGGCCATCCTTTTGGTAACAGAGTAGGCAAAGGAATTCCAGATTGTAGAGAGCCCATTGGCTGAATTACTTTGTTAATTGCTCTAAGGTCTGTTACCATTCTCCATTTACCAGATTTCTTTTTAATAACAAATGCAGGAGAATTCCATGGGCTGGTTGATTCTTCAATATGCTGAGCATTTAACTGTTCTTCTACCAGCTCTTCTAAAGCCTGGAGTTTATCTGTTGTTAAAGGCCATTGCTGGACCCATACAGGCTTGTCTGTTAACCATTTTAAAGGTAGAGCTGTTGATGTCTTTGGAAGATCATCAGTTGTTGTGCCCTGTTCTTGTATAATACGGATGGCTGGTGAACATTCAGAATAATGCCTTCTAATATTTCTCTCAGAAACATGTGCTAGTTTATGATTTGTTTCTGAGATTGGAGGGATGTTAATCTGAGTATTCCATTGTTGCAACAAGTCTCGACCCCACAGGTTCATAGTTATGTTAGCTACATATGGTTTCAATTTTCCTCTCTGTCCTTCTGGACCTATACATTCAAACCATCTTGCACTCTGTTTCACCTGAGATAATGTCCCAATTCCTAACAGTTGAATGTTTACCTCCTGAAGAGGCCAAGTTGGATGCCAAAATTCTGGTGCAATTATGGTAACGTCTGCACCTGTGTCTACCAGACCAGACAACAAAACACCATTTATTTTTATCAATAATTTTGGTCTTTGTTGATTAATAGAAGTTTGCCAAAAAATTTTCTTTATGCTTTCTCCTGAATTTTCTATTCTCTCTGCTTCATCATCCTGACCAGCATGCCTTATTCCAATAGGCATTTGGTTATTTAATTGCTCTGAGTAGGGGTTTCCTTTATGACTGCAGGAAAGGTTTGAACTGGATTTGCTATTGGGGCCTGCATGAGGCCCCTCTGGGAGTTTCCCGAAGACTGAGGCAAAGGATTACCCTGTCTGTCCCTTGTTGATCTACATTCATTGGTCCAGTGTTTTCCCTTACCACACCTTCTGCATACTCCAGAAGGAAGGGGCCTTCTGTTGCCATTGTTCCTTGAAGAAACATTGTTTCTAGGAATGACCTGTTTACAGTCCCTTTTCAAATATCCTTGCTTTCCACATCCAAAACATCTAATATTCCTCAAACTTTTTGAAATTGCTTCTCCTACCCATGTATCATCATGCTCATGAGCTTCAACATTAACCGTGTCTCTAATCCAATCTTCCAAAGGTGCAGATCTTGCCTTTAACGGCCTGATTATTGTTTTGCATGCTGCATTCGCATTCTCAAAGGCCAAAGATTCAATTATTATCTTACTAGGTTCTGAATCCAGGACCATTCTCTTTACTGCTGATGCCAGTCTTTGTAAAGAATCTGTGAAAGATTCTTTTGGGCCTTGTACAACCTTTGTAAATGACTCAGTTTTTTTTTCCTGCTTCCTCAACTCTGTCCCATGCATTCAAGGCTGCTGTTCAACATAAAATTAAGGTTTGGACATCATATAAACATTGTGCTGGTGCTGAAGCATATTGACCTTCTCCAATAAGCTGATCCTGGCAGACTTGTATTCCTTTATCCCTCCACTGTTTTTCTATGTTTTTAGCTTCATCCTTGAACCAAGTTAGCCACTGAAGCCTTTGACTGGGTTCAAGAACAGTTTGTGCCAGCTCCCGCCAATCCTGTGGTACAATCCTATTATATGTTGACCAAGAGTTTAACATTTGCTTTACATATGGGGAATGCATGCCATAAGATACTATTGCCTCCTTAAACCTTCGTAAATCTAACATTTCAATTGGAGCCCAAATGTTTTGTGTAGTCATTTGATCAGGCAACTGCTGTACAGTTACTGGACAAACTAAGGGTGACTGTGTGAAAACAGGCTTTCTTTCTGTAACCCTATGATCCAATCTTGAAGCAACTTCACTGTTAGTTTCTTCTGTCTGAGTTTTTACAGGTTTAACAAGTTTTTCTAAAGCTGTCACCCTGGCACTTAAATTGACTATCTTTTTAAATAGTAAAATGAGGATAAGCATAGTAATAAAATGCATAATTCGATCAACATTAATCTTCTCATATAGCTGTTCCATTGTCAGACTGCCTAAAATTGCAAACAAAGCCCAATTTTCTTCCAATGAACACAGAAAACCCATTTTTTTTTAAATGTGGAAAAAAGTTTCTCTTTTAAATAGTTTCCTTAAAATATCTGATATGTTAAGTGACTTACCAAGTCCTCATAGAACAGTACCAATCCGAGGGAATTTCAAAACAGCCACCTAGTGTCCGAGGTGTGAATCCAGAGAGAGAGAGAGAGAGAGAGAGAGAGAGAGAGAGAGAGAGAGAGAGAGAGAGAGAGAAAACACGCAAGAACCGTAGCCGCAAGTTCTGCCTAAGAGCTTGAATCCAGCCATGTGTTCCCGCTTGAGCCTAGTCAAGCCTTGGCTCTGTCTACCTTAAGCTCCAACCACGTGTGTTGGCTTTACAGGCAGGGGCTCTGTTCAGCAGGGCAGGACTGAATTATCTGTAGCACCGGCTTTGAGCAAGTAGCTCAAAGTTAGTCCGGCCTGAGGCCAAGCCGACCTGGGCCTGGGCTAGGGAGCCGGCCGCCCTGGTGGGAAACCGGACCTTCCGCCAAGCCAAGTTAAGCGGTTTTTAATGGATTCTTGTCAAGTTGGGCGCCAAATGTAGATGTAACCAACCGTCTTATCAAATAAGAAACACAGAGTCGATTCAGAGAAGAAAGCCAAGAGGTCAGAGCTAAGAGCCTCACCCTTCCTGCTTCAGCAATCCTCTTCAGTCAAGAGAGCTCTCTGAAAAGGGGGCCTACTTCCTGTGTGTATGTCTTTATATAGTCTAGCTGTTCTGCCTTCTCATTGGTTGTAAACCCAAACACGTGACTGTCTCATCACTGCCTGAATGTACTGCCCTCCAGGTCCTTAAAGGCATGCGCCACCGCCGCCATGCACTTGCTATTTCTCTAATAGCTCTGACCCCCAGACAGCTTTATTTATTAACATACAATTAAAATCACATTTCAGTGCAAGTAAAATACCACCACAGTAACCACTCATTTGCTAGAAGTTATGGCCATCATGGGTATACCTGCACAAATTAAAACTGACAATGGTCCATCATATGTCTCTGTTAAAATGAAACAGTTTTTTGCTTATTACAATATAAAGCATATTACAAGCATACCACATAATCCTATAGGTCAAGCAGTTATAGAAAGATCAAACAGAACTCTAAAGGATATGCTAAATAAACAGAAAGGGGTAACAAAACCCCCCAGAAAGAGACTGCATAATGCTCTATTAAGTTTGAATTTTCTCAGTTCCAATGAGAAAGGAACAACAGCTGCAGAGAGACATTGGATAATAGAAAAAAACTACAGAATTAAATCAGTATATATACTTTAAGGATGTGTTGACCTCAGAATGGAAACCAGGATATATGTTATGTTGGGGATGAGGTTTTGCTTTTGTTTCTACAGGAGAAAATAAACTGTTGGTACCATCAAAATTGATAAAAGTTCAATTTGAACAATAGAGACCTCTTAATTAGAGGAGGTGATAGTTCATCAACCAGCATGAACATCCAATTTAAACTAACTTATACCAGTAACACATGCCTTTTCATTTAATCAGATAATAACTTGCCAAAAAGGAACATCCCCCAAATTAGTCTTTTTGGAAAGGGTTTTGTTTTTGTCTTTTAGGAGAATGAAGGTTAAGGAATCTGAAGAACACTGGACAAATGAGACAACTGAAGAAAAGGGACAAATCATCTATCCCAGGAATCAGAGTGAAATGGCGTATGGGTATATCCTCTAAAAAATTTTATGTCTTCCTAAATGTTTGTTTCTGCTTTTCTCTAAAGATTTAACACTATTGGTCTTCTAATAGTCCCAGTTCAATTAAAATTTAAAGCTGACTTTGGAGTTGGAGAATGGCTCTCTCCTTCTTTAAACTCAAGCATGTTGTTAAAAGGAAAATGCAAACTCCCTGTATCATGCCAGAATAAAAGAGCCATCTTCTGCTATGGGACAGGAGAAAAGCCAACTTAATTAAGGGACTATTCTATTACTAATCTCAACTCTTTGATTCTATTCTGATTCTTTAAACTTTTCTTAAAGTATAAATTTTATATCAAAATTTACAAGATATATATATATATATATATATATATATATATATACATGTTTTAAACTTTGTTAGGATATGAATCGTCATATAGAGTACTAACTAATTCTAGAAAAAAAGCTTCAATTAGCTGCATATATATGTCTTTGTGTTCGAGTCTCTTATCAGTTTTCTGCAGGAAATCACAGCTAGGCCTAACATCAACTGAAGTCTCCAGGAAGAAGATGGGGCCCCACAACAATAACAATTCCACGTGGACAATAATAATATCACTAAGCTGACAAACATCATCTACAGATCAGCTTTGAACTACAAAGTGCTCAGAGCAATTTTGAGAGGGCTAGCTGAGATGATCCAGTCTCAAAGGCTACTTGAATAAGGACTTGAGATAAACCCTGAACTTTGGCATTATACACAGACTGGATAATGAAGGATTTAGTTACCTTTCCTAGAATTTGACAATTATCCTAAAATTTTTCTTTCAGGATAAAGATACCTTCACCCATACCCAGCAGGAAGCAATTTGAAGAATACGACGCCCACATTCCCAAAGAGGTAGTGTGGGGCGGTTGGTTTTTTGGTCTTTTTAATGGGTTTTGGGTCTGGGATAATTTTCATTGTTTAGGAGTTTGGTTACAAGTTGTTGTCAAGGGTTATGAAAAAGGCTAAGCAAAGGAGATTAGATTTAAAGTTCTTGTTTTTTTAAAAAAAAATGAAAAGAAAAAGACAATTACTAGTTTTAAATACTTTACATTGGATTGGATTGTTTTATATTGTATACAAATTATATATATTGAAATTAATATTGTTAGAAAATGCTATATGTATATTTCTAATTGTACTTATACCATTCATTTAACAATGTAATGCAATTTTCTGATCCTTGAATGTTATTATTACCAACTATTAGGATACAAAGAAATGAAAGTTATTAGTTAGACGTTACAATAGAACTTGTAGTCATATTAGATATGTTTTAAAAATTGAGCAGATATATTTTGAATAGACAGGTCATCTTCAAAGCTTTCAGAGATCTACAGAATATGGCATTTAAAATGTTTTAATAACTTAGAAAATTTTTCTTTTTATTTATGACTATGAGACATGTCGACTCCTGGCAGTACCAATCTACTTCAGAGAAAATATGGTCATTGAAGAAACTGCATATGGAGTTAACTTTCATTGTGGTAAAAGTTAGCCACTGGACAACAAAGTATCCTCGAATCAAGAGGACAAAATGGACAGACAGGACATGAAACAAAGGACTACCGATTCTTGCTGAAACAAGTGTGGTTATGGCTTTATCAAAAGGCATCTTCTGAGGCCAGTATAATATGGCACCATCCCTGAAGTGGCCTTCACAATCCAGAAAAGGTACAGTGCCCTTTTCTTCTAAGGCAGCTGAACAGTCAGTGGGCCAATGGCTTCTGATGTGCAATGGAACAGCAGCTAAAACAGTTATTCTTGAAGAGTAACTAAGCTCACGCCTCTCAATAGTAGACTGGCATTTAGTAGAGGGATGTGGAGAAGAATGGGATGCTGAGATAAAGCCACATATATACACAGCCAAAAAGAATGGACAGCTGAACTCAAAAACCATCAACAATTTCCAGAATTTAAAATCCTGAATCATGACATGACACTAGTGGAATTCAGGTGTTTCTGGTATATGGACTGCCCTCACCCAATGTGAGGTTGAACTGTTGACCTTGTGTACATCCTACTTCACAAATGAGTCTGTCAGATATGCTAAGCCTATAGGCTGAAGATGATACCCCAACACTGTGGAGAAACCTCAGGTGACTGTCCAGGCAACTGGCTGTTTCTGTCAACTCACAAATTTTTTGGAAGTTGCTTGCATGCACTTCCTGTTTTTATTTTTGTTAGCTAATATTATTTCCTTCTTGGTTCCTGAGGGAGTTGAAGATTAGTTAGTTATAGTTGAAGATTAGTTAGTTATAATTGAAGACTAGTTAGGATAGAAAGTGAATTAGATACATTTTGGACTTACCAAAATAGGATAGATAATGGAATTATTTTCTCTGAATTTGTGAAATACAAATGGACTAGACATTTTTTAGGTATTTATTACTTGTATATATTGTATGTAGTTATTGTACTTTTATATATAGTTTTTCTTATGTTAGTTATAACCTTTTTCCTTTTTTCTTTTTATTAAAATAGAAAAGGGGAAATATGGTGGTATTTTATTTGTACTGAAATGTGATTTTAATTGTATGTTAATAAATAAAATTGTCTGGGGATCAGAGCTATTAGAGCCATAGCAAAAGCTGGGTGTTGGTGGTGCAAGCCTTTAATCCCAGCACTTGGTAGGCAGAGCTAGGTAGATCTCCGTGTGTTCAAGGATACAGTCAACAGACAGTGACGAGGCAGTCATGTGGTTGGGTTTACAACCAATGAGAAGGCAGAACAGAAAGTCTATATAAAGACAAACAGACAGGAAGTAGGTCTCTTTCAGAGAGGTCTCTTGGCTGAAGAGACTAGCTGCAGCATGCGGGTAAGGCTCTTAGCTCTGATCTCTTGGTTTCTTCTTTGCATTGGTTCTGTGTTTCTTATTTAATAAGACGGTTGGTTACATCTACACCATTCATTCAAGAATTAGGAAAAATGCAAACAAATCTAACAGGAACCCACTAGAAGGCAAGTAATAACAATCAAAGATGAAATATAAAATACAGAGAAATTTTTTGATGAAATCCCTCATCATGACTGCCTTCATGATCAAAATCATACAGCCAATAGGACTAGAGAGAACATGTGTCTATCAAACAAAAGCTAGAGTCTTAAATCATCATTAAAAATGAGAATCTTATAGCCAACACCATCCTAAATTGAGGAAAACTTGAAGCAATTCAGAGGAGATAGGTACCCAGTGAACTCCTGCTGTTCTCCACACCTATCTAAGGGTAAATTTTGTCTGAGTGTCTTAGAGGATTTAGGAACACCTAAAACACTGTTCCCCCTTTTTTTCCCACTCATCAGAGGACATATGGATATTTGAAAGGATTTATTTTTGTTTCATGTAACTAGGCTGCTCCTCAGACATACCTCTGAAATACTGAAATGGACTAGCCTGTTTCCATTCCCTCCTGTCTTTCATGTCTCTGTCTACTAACCACATGTCATGCCCCACTACCCACATGGCAGCCAATCAGCAGGTGACAGCCATCCATAACTCTAGTTTCAGCTGATCCACCCCTTTCTTCTGGCTTCCAAAGGCACCAGGCAATTACATGGTTTGTAGACAGGCAGGCAGGCAAAACATCCACACACAAACAAATCCCTTCTCTACTCAAACAAGACAACACACACACACACACACACACACACACACACACACACACACACACACACACTTTCCTTTTTGTTTAACCTATAATGTCCAATTTGTTTTGCCCATATATTGATGGATGTGTGGCCTTTGACTTCAGGATGGTCAACATGCTAGGTGCATCATTAATCATTCCCTTCTAGACTGTGATTGCAAAACACAATAGTCTAGCTTTAGTTTGATATTTAATATGTACAATGTTATACCTTTTTTCAGATTGTAAGAATAATGATGGTATTTTACTTCACATAATTATATATGGGTCTAGGTCATTCTGGGTACACCAAGGTACTTCACAATTGATAGAATTATATCTGATAGACAGTTCATATTCCTTATGAGATATCTAAGTATAGTTGCTTTTCCAATAAACATGATGGCATAATAAAGCCCTTGGGTTAGGATTTGGAATGAATAGGTATTTCTTCATTCCTCCTCAGTGACAGTGACACACAGCACTTTGGTGGTTAAATCCAATGACACAGATGTGATGCTTGCCAATGGTCTCATGAACCTTTCTGATTTAAAATAATATGAAAATTTATTTAAAAATTATATGTACCCCAAAGTATGGTTTGTACATACCTGAAAAGAGACTTATTGTCAAGTAATGCTGATGATTCAAAACAAATGTTAAATATTTTCTTATATAAAAAAGCTGAATAAGCATGTTTGTAGCCACCTAAAATTAGATATACTTACAGAATGTTACACTCAGTTTTCTAATTTTTCATTTTTTTCAAAAAATCTCAAATGTATGAAGTTGGTACTACTTATAGAAAATATAACACAAATGGAAGGATACCTGAGACTGAGAAGAAATAATTGAACTGCATTAGATAGTGTGAATGTATTTTGTCATTTACTTTAATTTAGTTATAGTGTTTATGTATGTGTAAAGTAGAGATTGCCCAAATAAAAAAATAAATAAATAGTTTTTACCATATTTTCAGAATTAATTGTAAATGGCAGTCATTACTATCCTGGAAATAAGAATACACTTACAAGAAGTAAGTTAAAGACATTGAATTTAACATTTTAGTTCATTGGAAATTTGCTAATAAAGAACAATTGTTACTATGATGATTGAAATCATATATATATGTGTATGTATGTATATTTGTGTGTGTGTGTGTACGTGTGCCTCACATTCTGCTTTAAATGTGCATTTTAAGCCATTAACAAAAGGAACAGTAAATGATTTGATTGAATGTGTAATCCTAAAATAAAAGTTCACGTATTGTTTTACATTTCCTCTGAAAGAGTGATTCCCAACAGGAGTTATTTAAACTTTGTACGTATGACTTTTTAAAACCAATATTTAATGAGATATAATGCTGATATTTTTAAAAAGTCCAACTAAATATTAATTGATAATTTTCTTCGTAGTTTTCTTTAACCACATGCTAAATCTTCAGACTGACATGAACTTCAAACCCTCACTTTCTTTTTTTTTTTTTTTTTTTTGTTTTGTTTTGTTTTGTTTTGTTTTTCGAGACAGGGTTTCTCTGTGTAGCTTTGCACCTTTCCTGGAACTCGCTTTGGAGACCAGGCTGGCCTCGAACTCACAGAGATCTGCCTGGCTTTGCCTCCCGAGTGCTAGGATTAAAGGCATGCGCCACCACCGCCCGGCAACCCTCACTTTCTTATCATGTCATCAGGCAAAACATTTTTTCTGCTTTATCAACAGAAAAGAGATATTAACCTATATTACAAAAATATTTTTAAGATTTACTAACTGTAATTTCTCTAAGCTTCATAACATTTTTCATTGTTTCATTTTCTAACAGTTGTAAAAACGTGTTCTAGAAGCCACTTATCCACTTAGATGGAAAGAATATGTAAACATTCCCACTTGTTTCATGATTGTGGGGTTCATGGAAGTTTTAGATGAGGAACCAAAATGATATAGAAATCTTTCTGTGTATGAACCCAGCTTTCTGGGAGAGTAGAAAATTTATTGCAAAAAATCCACAATCCTTTAATATAAGTATCTCCACCCTGACCTTTGCTCCATGATGATGTGGGATCCTCTGAAACAATGATACAAAAATAAATCACTTCTGAATTAGTTTACTGTCTCAAAATGTTTTGGTAAAGCTACAACTAGAATACGTAATATGAGTGTGAATTTAATACATTGTATACATTGTTTTTATAGTCACCAGAAAAGATAAGATACTCACATAATGAGTTGAGAGTAAAACTATCTGACTTTTGAACCAGAACTGTATACAGTTAGCATCCATAGTTTTGCCTAGACACAAAGTAAGAATCATTTGGTTTTTGTCATTTAATATTGCATCTACATCCTTTGGCTTAAACACATGAATAATATATCTTGTGTTTCATACACTATAACAAATGGATGACTCTACTGATATGCTCAGGAATACTCTTCATACATTTCTCTTGTGATGAAATTACAAGCATAAGACATCTTGAAATACATATACATATATATATATATATTTGTGAATATATATGTATATATATATATTTATAAGTGCAGTACACACACATATATGTGTGTATATTAGGTTTTCACTGTAGGATACCTGGTAATACAGCTCCTCAGTAATCTAGACTTTCAGATGTTAATACTTATTTAATACAGACAATTTGTACATATCTACAGCAGGGTTTAGAAAGGCAGGTACATACATTATGGTGAGAATTGAAACTCTGTTTATGGGATGTATACCATCTCAATATCTCAGCCATTCTATGTTAAACATATAACCTTCTCACTATTATAAAATACACTCATTCCCCAAAATCGCCTTTGACTGTGAAAAAAGAAGATTCAATTATGTTCCACAGTGTTATAAACTGATATGGCACAGTCTTTGTATCTAAAAACAAAGTACCATTTATTTTTGCCATACTTGAATCAATGATTTGAATCTCATGCTAATATCTCTAATGTATTACTCAGATTCAGGCTTATTAATATTCAATATTAGAAAAACAACCAACCATAGTGTATTTATATGTTTATGAATATATATATATATGTATATATACATATATTTGTATATACCAAAAATAAATGAAAAATAGGTCATGCCTTAGATAGAGAGCTTCCATGGGTGGCTTGTCTGTTTCTCAGGAGGAAAGTGAGAGGGATGTAGATGTAACCAACCGTCTTATTAAATAAGAAACATAGAACCAATGCAAAGAAGAAAGCCAAGAGGTCAGAGCTAAGAGCTAAAACCTTACCCTTCCTCCTGTGGTGGTCCTACCTCTCCAAAAGAGAGCAAATTCCTGTGTTAAAGTCTTTATAAAGACTTTCTGTTCTGCCTTCTCATTGGTTGTAAACCCAACCACATGACCGCCTCGTCACTGCCTGTCTGTACAGACCTTCAGGTCTTCTACGGTTGGTATTAAGATTAAAGGTGTGTGTCTCCAATGCTGGCTGTATCCCTGAACACACAGAGATCTACCTAGCTCTGCCTACCAAGTGCTGAGATTAAAGGCATGCACCACCACCGCCTGGCTTTTCTATGACTTGGTAATAGCTTTGACTCCCAGGCAACTTTTATTTATTAACATACAAATAACATTTTAGTACAAAATAAAATATCACCATAGAGGGATATGATGTAATCATATTATACACTCACAAATAGCTAATTATAAATTCACAAAATTAAAAAGGAACTTCCACCTGAAATAGTTTTGAACTTATATTCATATTATCACTCAACAAAAATAAAAATCCAAACAGGAACATCTAGTCAACCACTAGACACATGAGTGTATAATGCCTCAAAATATTAATGATACATACTCTTTTATCACAATTTTAGAGGTAATACTCACCAAAACTGTTACTTTTTCAATTATATTCTACTTAAATGGACTTCCATGAGAATGAACAGTATCTTTCATCATGTCAGTTCCTATATACCTGCTCAGTTTCATATGATAAGCATAATATTGGAAACTTGACTTCTGACTATTTACTTCAGTGAGAATCAACAAGACCCAACATACTTGCTTTGATGTGTTTATATCATTTTCCATTAGATAAGACCTGCATTAAAATGAAAAGGATGTATAGTTGTGATGCATGTCTGTAATTTCAGAACTTGTCTGATGGATGTATGAGGATCAGAGTCCAAGTGGACTCCCCTACTTATTGATGTTGAGTTGACCTTGCAGAACATGCAACTTTGATGTTAAAGAATAAACAACACAGAGATTACACCCACTTCAGATTCATTGATTTGTGGGGGATTCCTGGGAGCCGACAGCTTAAAAACAGAGCTGTATTCAAACTGTTATGTAGAGTGAACTATGTGATTTTCCAATTTCCAGCACATCCAGAGACCTGCTGCTCCCATTTTGGGGTCCACTGCTCTCTACCTTCAGGGCCCACTGAACTCTGCCTTTTCAATACTGCCGTTGCAAGTCTACTCACTGAGATAGCACATACTTGGGGGTACTACAGCTAGCAACATTCTTGAACCAGTGATCTTGCAGCCACCCTGCCTAGGACTGCCCTGACCTCCCTGGCTATATAGCTGCTCAACACACTTGGCAGCCCTAGCCACCAAACACTTAGCCTGTCACACCCACAGTAAAATGCCACAGAACACCCTAAGCAAGCTGCTGCTGGCAGATATAGACCTCCAGATTCTCATGGGAGGTGTTCAGCACTTTTAGCTTCTGTGGATCCTCCAAGATGCTGTGGGAGGATACCAGACCTCTGATACCCTTAGACCAGACAATGCAGCCTGTGGCAGTACCTCCAGGCAGATAGAAGATCAGATCTATAGTGTTGCTGCTGGCTAGGCTCAGGCCATGGGACTTTTGTGAATGAAATAAAATTCTGTGAAACAAATTCTCTGAAGCAGAAAACTGAAGGCCCTACACTTTACTTTGCAAACACACTAGTAAAGACTGTGGCAGGCAAGTGAGTGGTGTACTCCTGGGTTCCTGCCAGACAATGTTCAAACCAGGGGTGGGAAAACTATTTCAATAAGAGCTCAGGGGTGTCAGTATCTCAGCTTTCTCAATGGTCTTTGCTAAGGCATCTAGTTCTGTCCTGTAGGAGGAAAGCTGTCTCATAAACAAAATAAAAATAAATGAAAAGAGGAAATAATACACAAAGTCATTCATGAATGTGGGTGGGCAGATTTTGCTTGCATGGAGCACAGGAATTTCTGTTCACAGTAGCTACACACCTCTACTAGCAGCTGAAGGGGTCCTTGGACTGGAACCCCTTGGACTGGGACTTGCAGCTTATATGCCCACTCTACACAATAGCTAGTTAGAAAAATAGGACAGACAAACATTAAGGACACCAGTCTAGGTAATACACAGATCGGGATTATTACAAGGTGGCTGAGGACCTAGGACACCCATTTCTCAAGTGGGAAGCATGTTTTGATTTGGGGATACCAGAGTGGGGAAGTGCTGTGCTATGTCTTTCTGTATACTGTGAATATATGCTGTTCCCATTGGTTAGTAAATAAAGCTGTTTTGGCCTATGGCAAGAAAGCTTTCAGCCAGGAGGGAAATCCAAGTAGAGATACAAGAGAGAAGAAGGGCAGAGTCAGGGGAGACACCAGCCTGCCACCCAAGAAGCAGCAAGAAGCTAGCAGAAACACACTTTGGCCCTAGAACCAGAGACAGTGAAAGAAATACACCCCAGCCCTGAAACTAGAGCCAAAAGGCTGAAAGAGCCAATGAAAGAAACACTTTGGCCCTTAAACCAGAGCCAACTCCGCCCCTGACCAACTAAACCAACTAATCCCTGAGCAAGAAAACTAACCAATCACTGAACAGAAAATCTCCCTGGAAAAAAACTCCATCCCTAAGAAGCACTATATAAGCCCCTCTGCCTGTTTAGGTTATCAGCTGTCCTTTCCCACCTTGGCCAAGGCAGCCACTCTCCTTGACTCCTCCTTCCCAAATAAATCTCTCCCTTAAAAGAGTTTTGGGTGAAGATATTCTTTTGCCAGCATGGAGCAGAACATCTTTGCTGAGATGTTCCATTAGGGGGATTGAGCAGAAAAAAGTAACAACTTGTTGCCAGAGCCAGAGCAGATTGCTACATTTCTGCAGGGGTTTCC